TCTCTCTAAAGGTCAAGGACAAGGCAAGGATGTTCCCTCTCGTCACTCTTATTCAACATGGAACCAGAAGTCCTAGATAATGCAGTAAGACAAAGAAAATAAAATAAAGGGTATTCAAACCAGGAAGGAAGAAATAAAACTGTTTTCTTTACAAATGACATTATTGTCTATGTAGAAAATCCCAAGGAGTGAACAACAACAAGAAATTCTCCTGGCACTAAGTGTTTGCAGCAAGGATACAAGGTTAATATATGAATCAATTGCTTTCTTATATACCAGCAATGAACAGTTGGAATCTGGAATTAAAAATACAAGAGCATTTACATTAGCACCAGCCCCCTCAACACACACACAGATATAAATCTAACAATATATATATAGGATTTCTTTGCAGTATAAAGAAAACTGTCATAGTCTGTTGAAAGAAACAAAAGATCAAAATAAATGAAGAGATATTCTATGTTTCTGGGTAGATAGACTCAGTATTGTCAAGCTGCCAATTTTCCTCAACTTGATCTATAGATCTAACACAATTCCAATGAAAAACTCCAGCAAGTTATTTTGTGAATACCAACAAAGTGATTCTGAAGTTTATATGGAGAGATGAAAGATCCAAAATAGCTAACACAACACTGAAGAAGAAGAAAGTTAGAAGCAGCAGCATCCAGCCTCAAAATTTATTATAAAACTACAGTATTCAATATTGTATGGTATTGGTGAAGGAATAGACAAATAGATCAGGGGAACAGAATACAGAGCCCAGAAAAAGACCCACACAAATATGGCCAAGTTATCTGTGACAAAAGAGCTAAGGCTCTCAATGGAGAAAGGATAGTCTTTTCAACAAATAGTGCTGAAACAACTGTACATTTATATGCAAAAAAAAAGTCTAAACACAAACTTTCAATCTTTCACTAAAAATGGATCATAGATCTACATGTACAATGCAGAACTATAAAACTTCTAGCAGGTACAGTAAGAGAAAATCTAGGATCTAGGTGGGGCAGTGAGTTTTTAGATACAACACAGAAAGCATGATCATAGAAGAAAAATGTTGATAACTTGGACTTTATTAAGATTAGAATTTCTGCTTTGCAAAAGAACGCTATTAAGAGAATGAAATGATAAGCCACAGACTTGGAGAAAGTCTTCACAAAACACATATCCAATAAAGGACTTGTATCCAAAACATACAAAGAATTTTAAACTCAGCAATAAGAAAACAAACAACTCATTTAAAAGTGGACAAGGATCTCAAAAGCAAAAAAGATATACAGATGGCAAATAAGCACTTGAAAACCTGCTCAAGGTAATGCCTTTAAGGGAAATGCAGATTAAAATAACAATAGATGCCAATTCACATTAATCAGAACACTGACAACAACAAATGCTGGCTAGAAAACAGAACAACAGGAACTCTCTCCTGCACTGCTGTTGGGAGTGCTCCACTATAAATTTTTCTATAAATCTACAACTGTTCTAAAATTTTTAAAAACTGAAACATAGGCTTGAAAGCAAATAAGTGTGTTATGATATTGAACATGAGCTGAGCTTATACTTAGACAATGTTTGAGAGCTCCTGGGTTGAGAAGTGGAGTTTTCATTATTTGGGGGCCTCTGGGCTCCTCTGCAAGGCCTGACATAGAGCTGCCCCTAACAGCCTGGACAGCTTGGGTGAAATTGGGATAGCGGGACTGTAGGCAAGAGACAAATTTCACATCTATTCTTTCTCTGGGGCCTTGGGAAAAGGCTCTGTTTTCTTTAATTCTTTTTTGTGACATAATTTCAGACAGGAAAGAGGCAAGATTAGTCCAAAGAATTCCTGTATTCCCTGCTGCCAGATTTCCCCAGTTTTCCCATGGGACCACATCTGCTATCTCCTTTCCTGTCTTTTCACCCACGTTTTACAACCAAGCAAACAGGCCAAGGGAAAGGTTCCCTTTGAACATAACAATTAACATTTATTGAGCACCTACAATGTGCAGGCGTCATTCCAAGCATTTGCAAATATTCCATCATCCCATGCTTACGTGGCCATTGGGGCCTGTCACTGTCCCCACTTGGCAGATGTGGGAGCTGAGGCATAGAGGAATGACCCATTGTCCCCAAAGTCCCATAGTCAGTAAGTAGTGGAACTGCTTCAGACAGAGGTTGTCTGGTGCTAAGTGAGGAAAGAGCAACGATGATCTAGACATGCAGAAAACAGGGTGGGAGCCCACTCTGGGAGGCTAGCGGGGCAAAGAGCCCAGGCCACACATCCCCAAAGTGGGATGTCACCTCCAGATGAGACTGAACGCAAACTCAGAGACACCTAGACAATGCTTAAGAGTCATCTTTACAAGGGGAAGTTAATTCTAAGGCAGCTGGGTTCTAACACCAGCAGCATGGGATTATGTGGGTGTGTAATGAACATAGGGAGTGTGGTGGTGAGAGTGTGTGAGGGACTGTGTGTGTGAGGGAGTGTGAGTGGGCCAGTATTTGAGTTTGAGTCTGTGTGTGTGGGTGTGAATGGTGTGGATGTGTGGGTGTGGGGATGAGTGTGAGTACAGTGCACATGTGAGCACACAAGCATGAATGAATGTGAATATACTGGTCAATGAGTGTATGTGTATGAGTGAATGTGTGTGGACAGATGAGTGTAAATGTGAGTGTGTGAGTGTGCATGTGTGGGTGTGTGAGTGGGCAAGGGGATGAGTGTGAATGTGTGTGAGCTTTTCTAGGCAGAACAGACTTTACTCAGTGAAGTACCTGCTGTAGTTGCTCAGGTACCATTTCTGAGGAACTCACGTTAAATGTAAAATTATCATCTGACCTGTTGGAATTCATACCTTGTCTGGCCAATTCCAACCTTTACTGATCCTTCCCAAGGCCCCATCTCTACTCCTCTCATGTCCACCTGTTCCCCATCACATGTTCATTACCCTTAATTGCTTGTGTCCATTTACCTGTCAGGGCCCCAACCAAACCCCCCAGGGCCAGGAAGGCAGGGGCTGGGTCCATGTATTACTCACTCTCCTCAGCCCCTAGCTGTGGGCCTGGCACATAGAGGCATGAATAAATAGACGCTGAATAGCTGTGGTTTTTCCACCCCACATGTCATGGCTCACCTCCAGGTAGTTGCTCATGCCATCCTGAGTGCCTTTCCCTTTTCCCCGCTGACCCTTGGAGACACCCTCAGAGGCCACCCACTCCAGGAAGCCATCCTTGTCTCCAAGACTGAGTCCACCGTAAGGTCACATACTTGAGTTGTAAGTTCTCAGAAGGCAGGGCCTGGGTCTATTTCATATCTTCACGTCTGCATCCTCAGCACTTGCCACAGGGCTAGGCACACAGTAGGGCCAAGAAAGAGCGAGTGCATGAAGAATAATGAGAATTGAAGGACTGTGTCCCCTCCCCTCGGAAGCCAGCCCTTTCTCACTGGAGGTTTCACTGCTTCCCTGGCTTGCCCTCTACCCTGGCAACCCCACTGGGCTGTCCTTGGCTCTGAGGACTTTCCCTCCACCCTCAGATCAGGATCAGCTTGAGGGCAAGATTTCTCTCTGGGTCCCCAGCACTGCCCAGCCTCTCCAGCCAACCTGGCCTTCAGACAATTCCTCACAACATGTCGGCTGAAATCCACACAGCCTTTAAGATTTATGAAGAAAGATTTATTCAGTTTTATTAAGGGCTGTGAGCCGGGATGACAGTTGATGAGAAAGCTCTGATCAGACTGCTCCGTTCCTTTTTGTATGGAGACAGTTTATACGTAGTTTACAGCAGAGAAAACTTGACAGTAACTAGTATGACAAGCACTGTGTCAAGGATACATTTCATTTAGTGTCCTGAAAAGTACAGACTCTGCACATTCTGGTGCTCTCTGTGTGGGAGAGTTGGTGCGGGTTGGGACTGATCATTTGCCCCTGAAGAATTCTGTCAAGGCCATGAGCACCTGACTCCTGATCAGTTTTGTTCTCTTTGGTCTTCAAGACCCTTTTCTTCTCCGTCCTGGGTGAGGGGCTGCAGCAATCCTGCTGACAGAGGTGAGAATGGCTGCAGGGCGTCTTCACAGCAAGGTAAGACTTGTCCTGGCTGACTCAGGGCTTCTGCAGCTCCCAAAGCAAGTTCTTCTTTCCTGTGGGACCACTGTGGGGACTATAACATTTCATTTTATTTCACAGTGTTAAGTTGGGTCCCACCCCAGGGCCTTTGCACTTGCTATTTTCTCTCTCTAAACTAGTTTTCCTCCATTTCCTCTTCAGGTTCTCCACTCAAATGTCTTCTCGTCCAGGATACCTTTCAACCACCTGCCCCACTGGCCTTAACAGGTCCCTCTCGGTTTTACTTTCTCCTTGGGACCTTTTGTTCACTTGGTATTTTTCCCTTCCATTGGGTTCCTTCTGGGCTCTTTTGGTGTCCAATGGTTAGTGTATGGAGCATGGGCTCACATCCCACACCTGCGGCATGATTCTCAGCAAGTTTCCCCTCAGAGGCTCTGTGCCTCAGTTTCCCCATTTGTAAAATGGGTGTTAGTAATATAGCTCCCGCATGGTGTACTTGTGAGACTTGAATGAGTCAATATTTGCAAATGTCTTCCAACAGAGCCTGTCAGATTGTACTAGCTGTTGATGAAGGGTTGTTTCACCAGCTGCATTCTTCTGGAGCCTAGCACATAGTAACTGCTGAGTGTATTTGTTGAGTGACTGTAGTTGAAGGAATGAACAGGCAACTGGTACGTAGCAAACATTGGGTTGTTGGAAAGGGGAGGACTGAAGTTGACCAGCCCCAGCCCGAAAGGCACCTGCCCCTCTACAGAGGGAGGGGGCCTTGGCGGGAAGGGCGGGGGAGGAGGCGGAGCGCCGGCCTGAGCCCAGCGGGGTGGCTGGGACTTTACCGTGGCCGAGAGGAACCCCTGCGGGTTCGCCGGAGGGCGTGGCCTCGGGCCGCCGCGAGGACGCCAACAAGCCGCGGGCCCGGAGCTGGGTCGCCCCCGGGGGAGGTAGGAGGCCCAGGCTGAAGGGGGCGGAGGACAGTGGCCGGGACGCGGCGCCCGGCGCCCGGGACGTGGAGGCGGGGCGCAGGAAGCCGGGGCGGGCTCGGGCCGGCGCCCAGGAAAGCCCCGTGCGGCGCAGGCGGGCCCGGGCCGCCCAGGAGTCCCCACTTCCCGCTCGGGCGCTGGCACGGCGGATGGGGCCGGCGCGCACAGGTAGGACCCGGGGTCTGCGCGCAGGTCGGGGGCGGGGGTTCGGCCGCTGGCGGGGCTCCAGGCGGCGGGGCTCCTGGGACAAAGCCGGCCACGCGCGGGGACCGCCCGCCGCTCGGGACGCGGAACCCGGAGCCCGCTCCGGGCAGCGCTGGCTCTGCCCATTGCGCTCAGGGGCGGCAGGAGCGCGGAGCTGGGCAGGCTGACCCTGGTGCCCAGGCAGCCGGCCCGCGCGCCCTCACGACTCGTGCTGGCCTCTAGGGCGTCTGGGGACATGCTGAGCGTGGGATAAGGCAGGTCTGGCCCACGCACCGCTTCCCTGGACAGTCATCCCCTGCCCGGAGCACAGGAAGTTGGTGAGGATTGCGGGGTGAGAAAAAAGTGTAGGGAAAGTTCTGAACACTGTGAGGTTGGATACTAGGTCAAGGAATCTGACCGAGGGAAGCAAGGCCCTTTAGCCCTGTGGTCTCACTGGAATATTAGATGGACCGACAATAGCGATCATTTCCTGAGACATATTTTGTGTGGGCTCTGTCTTGAACGCTGAAAGTATTGAGTTAATTCTCTAAATTACCTTCCCGGTTGCTAGGTATGTATGTATTGTGGCTATTTTTCTGATGAGGACGCTGAGGCACAGGCAACTTAACGTGCCCGAGGTAACAGCCCACCTGCCAAGTGTGGAGCAGGATTCAAACCCAGGCAGTCTGATGCCAGAGCCGGCTAGTTTTCACCCATCAACAGTATTTGTCAGACTAACCCAAAAACGAGTTCTCCAGGGGATTTGGTTAAAACGCAGATTCCCAGGCCCCCTTCAGTGAGATTCAGATTCAGTAACTCCAAGGAATAAATCTGGATCCTTCTCTTCAAAAACAAAATCTGGATTTCTATAACCAGGAGAGAGTGAGGATGAGCAAACTCAGAAGTGCCCGCTGCTCAGCTTCTCAGATGGCTCCCAGGCTGGCACTAATCCTGCTTGAATCCTAGCCTCTGCCCTTCCCCAGCCCTTGATGAGCTGTGAGCCTTGCTGCTCACCCCCTGTGGCTGGTCTGTTTAGGAGCTTGGATCGTTTGCTGCGACAGCAGTGCCTTTATAAAAATCCTAAAGTCCAGTGGGGAAACGGAGGCTTAGGTGTACCTTTGTCCAGGGTGTCCCCACAGTCAGGAGATTCCAGAGCCCTGCAAGGGCCCCTGAACTTAACTTGCTCACCCTGTGATATCAGATGAGGATGCTGAAGTGTGGAATGGGAGGCAGGGAGCCCCAGCCATTCATTCATTCATTAACACCCACTGGCCTATTCATTGGGCATTGCTTATGTGTTGTTTAGGGCACTGCTATTTGCTCTTCAAGGAGTGCTCCCTCTGGAGGAGGGGAGCTATGAGCAGGGAGGAAACAAGTAGGGGGGAATCACCCTTCACGGGGCAGTGGGACAGGATTCCTGCAGTGGAGACCTCTGAGCCAGCTCGGAAGAGGGGTAGAGGAGCTTGGCAGGTAGAGAACAGGAGGGAAAGGCATGCTGAGCAGCAGGAACAGCGTGGATAAAGGCTGGGAGGTGTGGAAGAGCATGGCACCCAGAGAATGGGAGAGGCCAGGGGTGGATGGAAAGGTGGGCCTGGCTATGCTGTGAAAAGACTTGAATGCTGCCGCTGAGGAGCTTAGGCCAGTGTACCTCCCCTTTACCTGAGCCATAAACATCACAGTGCAGACTCCTGAGTTCCACACTGGACCTCTGGAGCCAAATCTGGAGGGAGGGAAACCGAGGAGTGAGTTGAGTGAGTTGCCCTGATTATAACACCCAGTCAACAGCAGGTCTGGGATGACCTGAGGATTTCCAAATTCTGGGTAGGAACTCAGTAAGTGCTGTGTTTGGTATAACAATCCCAGGGTTGCCGAAAGCCCAGGCAGGGGCAGGGAAGAGGTCCCTAAGGCATTCACAGTTTCCTGAGGCTCAGATTAGAATAGGAGCTGAAATGAAGTGTCTGTGAAGTGAGGAGAGAAGTTTCCCTCCTCTCGCTGACTCCTCTCCTCTTACCCCCAGGATGGGGAGAGAGTTTGGGATCAAATGGCCTACTGTCCTCAGCTGCCCTTGATGGCCCCTGGGAGTGGGGCAGGGATAGAAGGTACTTCACAGTTGTGAAGTGCTTCACATTTATAAAATTGGACCTTCATGAGTGTTAAGAACATCGTGTTGCATAAGATACTTAACACAATTTCCAACCCATAGTATGCCCACTATAATAAATGTTCATGATTACTGTACCTGTACAAGAAGTATGCCTTGTAAGTAAGTGCATGGACTCTGGAACCAGCCTGCTCAGGTTCAAATGCTGGCCTTTGAACTTACTATGTAGTTAACTTCTCAGGATCTCAATTTGACCATTTGTGAGATTATAGTGATTAAACCATTGTACTGATGGCTAAATGAATTAATACATGTCAAGCATACAGAACAGTGCCTCGCATTGAGTAAGCACTGTGTATTTGTTAAGTAAATAAATGAGCCCCACTGGATGGGATTTAGTCCATCCATTTCCCAGGTGAGGACACTGAGATCCTGAGATGCGTGTTGTGGCCTTGTGCAAAGTCACACATCTAGGAGGGACAGAGAGAGGGATTCAAACCTGCCTTCCTTCCCGGCCCATGTTCTTTCCCACTGTGCCAGTTCACTGGGGTGACCAAGAGAGATGTCTTCCTGAGCATTCCTCATGGCCAGAGACATGCCTAGACACATTTGGCCAGCCTTCCTTTGGCTAGGCTAGAAGAGAGGCCAGTGTCTTGCCTGGATGTTGTATGAACTTGCCTTTGCAAAAACATGGACTGGAGAAACGCAGTGGAGACTGGTGGTTGTCCCTGTTGCTCTGTTGTGCAACTTCCAGCAAGTCATTCTGCTTCTCCAAGCTTGAAGCAGAGACAAAGGCACAGGCTTGCAGACAGGGACTCTAGGTCGAAGTTAAGCTTGATGTTTCCTATCTGTGTGATCTGGAGGAAGTTGCTTAACTCTGAGCCTCAGTTTGCTTGTCAGTAAAATGATATTTGGGGGGTATTGATAAGATAATTTTTATAGGCACCTCACACATGGTTCAGTGATGGCTGTTTCTCTCCCCATTTAGGACAGTCACTCTCCATGCACAGTACCTATCTTCCTCACTCATATTTTCTTCAAATATTACTAGGCACTTAATGCCAGGTGCTGCTGATAGAGCACTGGACAAAGTCCATTCTCCTGGAGTTTAAATTCTAATTGAGAAGACAGGCAATACCCAAACAAACACATACATGCAGATCTACACCCCTTACCTATCTGAAATCCACAAGCTCTGAAAACCAGTTGTTCACAACTCAGTTGGAGGCAAGACCTAACATGAACTAAAATGAGGCTTTTGGGAGTCTTTATCCTCCTTGGTATGAACACTTGTATGTCTCATTACAGAGATATTAATGGTTGATCACAGGAGACTGCTCTCAATCCCTGGAGACAGGGGTGGTTTTGTTGGGTGGTATTTTGTACCTGACCTTTCTGTGATCTGAGTAGTTCTGAATTCTGAAACATACCTGGCCCACAGGATTTCATACAAGTGAGTGTGGAACTGCAGTATTGTGTCAGGTAGAAGGGTGAAATGGACAGGGCAGAGCTGGAGAGTCTCTCTGAGAAAGGACAGTTAGAAAGACATGGGGCACAGGCCTGGGGAAGAAGGGGTCAGGTGGCAGGAATAACGGGAAGGGTCTAGTCACCCCACTGACCCTACTTCTGGGCCCGCTGCCTGCCTGTGCTCTGTGTGCAGTTCTAAATGCATGTGCCTTTGCTTTTCCAAGAAATGGTGATGCCTCAGGTTTCAAGCATAGCCTCAAATGACTCATTCTCACTCACAGAGGCCCCCTGGGTCTCCATACCTCCTCAGGGTTGCTCAAGAAATCCAGGGTCTTTGCACCAGCAGGCTGGGGTGCTGCAACAACTCACTGGGGATGATCACCCCCCAGGCTGGCTTCTGAGTCACGCCTTATCCTCCCTCGAGGGAGGGAAGAGAACTTGGCCTTCAAGGGTTTCATGGGGCAGATTTCCTGAAGGGGATCAGGTGTAGTTCTGAGCATCAGGAGGGTGTGTAAAGGGACTAACAGCCTTCAACGAGCAGGGCTTGTTTACAGAATTAAACTGCCCAGTGTCGGGTGTGCACATGTCTTGAGTGCCAGCACTGGGCTTACACACACTCAGAAAATGTGTCAGGGGCTGGGGACAGAGCAGCAAATGACACAGGAGTGAGGGCCCTTCTAGAGCTGACCAGTCTTGGGGAGAGGTGACTCCAAGGAGGTGACTTTTGAGCCAAGACCTGAGGCAGAAAGGCATAGCTGTCTGGGAAAAGTGTGATCCCAGTAGAGGGAACAGCACACGCAAAGGCCCTGAGGTGGGAACAAGCTTGGTATGTTTGACCCACAAGGAAGTTGATGTGGTTGGGTGGAATTGAGCAAGGCAAGGAGGTGCAGGAGCATAGATCAGAGGGGAAACAGGAGCCAGATACCCGTATTATCTCATTCAACTTGTAGAATAACCCTATGAGGTAGGAACTGTTCATCCAGATTTTACAGACAACGGAGTGGTCATAGAGTAGTTTGGTAACCTGTCTTAGGGTTTCAAACTGGAAGGTGGCAGAGAAGGGCTGTGAACCCAGCAGCTCTAGAGTCTCAGTCTTCACTGCTGTGTTTAAACACATAATGGAAACTGTGCTCAAATGGTAAAGACCCATTGACTACTTAGACCACTGTTGGTATGCTTACCTGCTACCAATCTACCCAGCAACCCTGTGGATATGGACAGGCCAGGATTGGTGTTACGGATAATGCAGTCATTGTACAAATCATTTTACCAGTGAGCACTTTCCCAGCAATGCAGACAGTGAGGACACACCACAGCAGAGTGGGTGTGGAGGAGAATGAGGACAAGTGGAGGACTGATTCCCCATCAGGCACTGTGCAGGGGAGAGGGGGTGAGTGGGTGCCTCGGCTTTCCCTGA